TTGTGAAGTAAGTAGCTGATCTCACAAGCTAAAGTGTGGTGACACTTGAATGAACACGTGGATGTTTTGTTATAGAACAAAACATTGGAGACCCGCCTAGAGATTTCACATGGATAACTATCTGAGTGTTAGTAGTTAATCTCTAACGTTCGGTAGTTGAATTGGTCCTTTAACTTGAGGTCGTCATAGTACCTTATATGAGGACAGTCATGTTTTGATGGTGTTAGATGTTGCTCTGCCAAGGGTCGCTAATACGGTATCGTTTGGGTATGTCAAGAATCGTATGAAGGTTGTGAATGACCAATAGAGGATTCGTCACTCTTAGATAGTAAGAGATTATGATTTGCATTTCATTCAAATAAGTCGATTACGAAATCCTTGGCCAAGGTGTACTCATAAGTCAAAAAGGAGTTTTCGACTTGTATTGACTTAATAGTGGAGTGAAAGATATGATCGGTAATCGAGATTGACACACTTTCATATCTCGTAATTGATCGGATCATATTAATGAAGGGATTACAGTCTCCTAATAAATGAATAAGTTTGGTTTTGTTATATCATATGATATTTCCTGTCACAAGTATTGCCCTGACACATTGCTAGATGTCAATCTGGGATGGCGAGTGTGAATTGGTGATAAATTTAAATGGTGTTTTAATTTATCAATTTTGATTAGATCAAAATAATGTTTTACGTCTTTAGGCATCGTGATAGGGAACCTGATGGGTCGCATACAAAAGAAATTAGAAGATTACAATTTATCGATTAATTAATTTAACAAGCGCTAGATAAATTAATTAATTGGGTTGCATATTTGTTTGTTCTCAAACAAAATTATATCCTAAATTATAATTAACACACAAGCATGCAAAAATATTTGGTTGGACAATCTAACTTCTCACCTCAGGATTCAAGATTTAAGTGTTAATTTCACAAATATGATTCAAAGTTATGACACCAAACTAATATTCACTCTTTCAATGCAAAATCGACGTGTGTGAGTGTGAAGAATTAGGTAGACATTAATGACATAAGTTATTCCAATTCCTGACCCTTTGTGATCAAATATATCCTTTAATCACTCATAAGATTCACTCACCCAAACTTATTATTTTTCACTCATTCCCAGTGTGTAATCTAAGGCTGAATATTTCATTACTATCCTCACCCTCTCAAGTTTAGGTGGACGTTACTAATTGCTAGTCAACACTTCAGTGAACAAGGATTCTCCAATTAATTTGATTGCTTCGACCGTCACGGTTTAACTAGCTAATTATCTTGTATCAAAGGTCGAATTCCCTCAAATAAGTGTTAGGGCTTAACCAAGGTATTTAGTGCTTTTGTTCTTTTCATGCACTTGCTTTTTCTATTTTTCACAATTTTTTTTTATATATACTCTCCATTAAGCTTTCTAGATGACCTCTGTAGCAAGCTTTAAGCCGATGACTCTCAAACCAGATGATTTTAGAGCACTAGATTTTTAAATACCTTTATAGGCTTACTGACCCGAGTAAAAAAGGCTTCAAATAGAACAATTTTTTTTTTCAAGTGTAACTTTGTTTCTAATTGCTTTCTAAATGACCCTTGTAACGAGCTTTAGACCGATGGCTCCCAAGTCAGACGACTTTAGGGCACCACGTTTTAAGATACCCTTACAGACTTAATTACTTAAATCATAAAGGTTTTAGAGAGAAGTTTGGAATTTTCAAATGTATGTGCCTTGATTAGTGCAATGTCCCTTATCACACTTATTCAAACAAATCGACCTCTAACTTAAGATTTTCGCTGAGTTTTATCATGTTAGTATAAGATAATCCACACATAAGTTTTCACACATAGAATCCACATTCACATCCGCATCTTCCTGTAACTACAAAATCACCCCCAAACTGTGCTAAATTTGGTCTAAGGATAGATAATTTAATATGGTTTATGTAAAGTATCTATGTCCAACTAGATCACCATATCAAAAGAAAGAAACAACTCATTTAATCATAATGTCAAACTTAATTCTAGTGCACTTGTACTATCAAATTTTGCAAGGTTGAGCTTCAATTAGTCTAGCATATATCCTATCCACAGTTCATAAATCAATACCAAATTTCAAATTAAATCATCATTGTCTACCAGGCTATCTAGCTTACACAAGCACACAACTGAACAAAAGAGATTTTTTTTAAACAAACACACAAAAATATAAAAACATACAAAAAAAGAAAAAAATTGTTCTCTTCGAAGTTTTTTGACTTGGGTCAGTAAGCTTGTAAGGGTATTTAAAAATCTGGTGCTCTAAAATCATCTTGTTTAGGATTCATCGGCCTAAAACCTACTACAGGGGTCATCTAGAAAGTTTAATGGAGAGTATATATATAAAAAAATACTTGTGAAAAATAGAAAAAGGAAGTGCATAAAAAAGAGAAAAAGCACTAAATACCTTGATCTTACCCTAACACTTATTTGAGGGAATTCGACCTTTGATGCAAGATGATTAGCAAGTTGAGTTGCGGCGGTCGAAGCAATCAAATTAATTGGAGAATCCTTGTTCACCGAAGTGTTGACTTGCGATTACTAACGTCCACCTAAACTCAAAAGGGTGAGGATAGTAATGAAATATTCAGCCTTAGATTACAAACTGGGAATGAGTAAAAAATAATAAGTTTGGGGGTATGTGAATCTTATGAGTGATGAAAGGATATATTTGACCACAAAAGGTCGGGAATTGAAATAACTTATGTCATTCATGTCTACCTAATTCTTTACACACACGCGTTGATTTTGCATTGAAAGAGTGAATATTAGTTTGGTGTCGTCACTTTGAATCATGTTTGTGAAGTTAACACTTAAATCTTGAATCCTGAGGTGAGAAGCTAGATTGTCGAACCAAATATTTGCATGCTTGTGTGTTAATCATAATTTAGGTTATAGTTTTGTTTGAGGACAAACAAATATTTAAGTTTTGGGCTATTTGATAAGTGTATTTTATACACTTATTCAAGGCCTTAAAATGATATTATATAGTATTTTTCTGATAACTTATGGTTTAAATTGTTGCAATTGGTGTTGAATAGGCAAAAGTCAATATTGGTATAAGAAAGTGAAAGAAACAAGAGGAAAATCTGGAAAAAAGCGAAATTCAAAAGTTGGGGACCAAGTTGTAACAATTCAAAAGTTGATCCGGACCATGAATCGAAGATTGAAATGTTTGGAGGTCAAATTGAATATTTTGGAAGGTGAAGGACTTGAATTAAATCAAAGAGTACATAAGTTGCAAGAATGAAAGGACTCAAGCACTGATTTTCATTATCTATAAAAAACCAAGGACTTCAGGTGTAATATATGATTAGAGACCCTTTTCTAGTCAATTATGACGGCTGGGAATGTGTATATATACGCAGGAGCTGAGAGAAATTAGGGTAGAATTTAAGATATTTTCCACACAATTGAATTGAGGGGCTGCCATCATCATCTCTACGCACGGAATTTGAGGAGCTTTGGGTTCTTCTTTAAATAAAAAATTGCAGATGCACGCAGAAAAAGAAAAAAAAAAGATATTTAAGCAGCCACTATTTTGATATACATGTACAAACACATATAGGAAAAAGAAAGGGAGGCAGCAGTAATACTACATATATTTTACACTCTTTGGCCAGTTGTAGGGAGGAATAATTTCAGCTTCCAGTAACAGAGAGAGAGAGAGAGAGAGCACATACAGCTGACGAGAGAAAGGCAGTGGACGATTGGAGCAAAGTTGGAAATTAATCATGCTTCGTCAATTCTTGGTGATGTTTTCCATAATTTCTTGTTTTTCTCTCATTAATATACGTAGTTAAATTTATTTTTATGGCGAACAATGTAACTGATTTGGGACCTTTATTTCTTTTATTTGAGATTCTTGTTCTTTTATAATTTATGTGTGGATTTTAATTATATTTTTAATGCTTTGAATTTTATGGCCAATTATTCAATGATTTCGTGGACAATAATTACGTAGAGATGCAGATTCTTGTTTAGACCTCATGTTAAAATTCGGTAAATTAATATAACGTGTAGAGATACCTATATTAATTGCTGTGGTCCTATTTGAATTTTTAGAACTATTATTTCGTTTAAATAATGTTGATCGCATAGATATATGGAATTAGATTATTTAAATAGGTTCAATGAGAACTCGAAAGGGGTAAATTGAATACCATAGAAGAATTCAACCGAACACTACGTTAGTTTTATGAATCTCAATATTAGAAGTAAAGGTAACCAATAGGTGAATTTGTTCCGTTCTAACATTATTTATTTTTTGAATTCCAAATCACTTTTCGTTGCATCTATTTACATTATTAGTAGTTAGATTTAAAAATCACATTCAATCAATTTTTTGTTTATTTTCATCAAATATAAGTTAGAAATAATAAATTGAGTATTAATTCTCGTGGGAATGATAATCCGGACTTAAACGGTCCACTTTACTACTTGTTACGATCCGTCTACTTGTGAATAAAATCGACAACAAGTTTTTGAAAAACATACAAAAAAAAGAAAAAAAAACAAAAATTAAAAGTTTTTTTCACACTCAAACTTAAAACTGACATTGTCCTCAATGTCATAAAGCATAAATAAGCACATAAAGAGGGTAGGGAAGAAAAATATGAAGGTATTCCCCAAATTTTTCTATTGAATGTGTGAGGCGCTATGGGTAACGGCTGGATAATATTCTTCATGCTGCTTTCCCTTGGATCTATGTTGGTTTGAGTGTTCCACGATGTCATGTTTCTGAAAATAAAATTTGACAAATTAAATACAGGGAATAAGGGTTACTTAGATCAAATAATCAAAATAATCAACAATAAATTCAAAGGCTAACGGGCAGAAGGGGTATGGGTGATAACTCCTAAATAAACTAAACTATTCTATAATTTGAAAACAAAATAAATAAAGGAAAGAAAGTTTGGGTTGCCTCCCAAGAAGTGCTTCTTTTAAGTCATTAGCTGAACTTTGCGCCGCTATTATTCTGGAACAGCTAGGTCAAGGCTCTCTTTAGCGGTGGGAAAATCTTCCATGTAGTGCTTGATGCGTTGGCCGTTTACTTTGAAATTTTCCTTTGTTGGGTGATGTAGTTCAATTGTGCCGTAGGAAAACACCTGAGAGACCGTGAAAGGGCCGGACCATCTAGGTTTCAATTTTCCTGGAAACACTTTAAGTCTAGAATTGTATAAGAGCACTTGGTCTCCCACTTTGAAAATTCTTTGCCCGATGTTCTTGTCATGCAACTGCTTCATCATTTCCTTGTAGATGACTGCACTCTCATATGCTTCTCTTCTGAATTCTTCCAATTCATGTAACAGCAATATTCTTGTTTCTCCAGCCTTTTTGAGGTCCATGTTTAACTGCTTCAATGCCCAGTATGCTCTATGTTCAAACGCCACTGGTAGGTGGCATGCTTTTTCAAAAACTAGTCGATATGGGGATATCCCAATAGGTGTCTTGTAAGAAGTGTGATATGCCCATAAAGCATAGTCTAATTTGTTTGACCAATCATTGCGAAAGGCATTCACAGTGAGCTCCTTAATTCTTTTCAATTGTCTGTTCGAGGTTTCCACCTGTCCACTTGTGTGAGGGTGGTAAGGAGTGGCAATTTGATGTTGTACCCCGTACTTATACAGCACTGCCTGAAATAAACGATTGCGGAAGTGAGTTCCACCATCACTTATTATGGCCCTATGTGATCTATAGTGGTTAAAGATGTGTTTCTTTATGAAATCCAGCACCACCCTTGCGTCATTTGTAGGTAATGCTTTAGCGTTTACCCATTTAGAGATATAGTCTACTACCACGAGGATGTACCGATTGTTATAAGATGATGGAAAAGGACCCATAAAATCAATCCCCCAGACATCAAATATTTTCACCTCCAAAATGTTGTTAAGTTGCATCTCGTGACGCACTGATATACTACCTGTTCTTTGACACTTATCACATGACCTACAAAACTGTGGCAGTCGTTGAACAGTGTCGGCCAAAAGAAACCACATTGAAGCATCTCTGCTGCTGTTTTAGTGGGACCAAAATGTCTTCCATAAGTCGAAGTATGAATCGGTGAAAGGATCGGTTTCATCTCATCCTCTGGCACACATCTCCTAATGATCTGGTCTGCCCCTCTTCTGTATAAATTTGGATCATCCCAATAATAGAATTTCGCTTCATGAAGCAGCTTTTTCTTCTGTTGATAGGTGAGATCTGGATCCATATAGCCACTGGCTAAGTAATTAACAATGTCTGAATACTACGAAGCTTTTTCTATCTGCAATAACTGATTATTTGGAAAGTCCTCATTAATATCCACAATATCTGAATCCTGCAATTGCGCTATCCTTGATAAGTGATCCGCTACCTGATTTTTTGTACCCTTTTTGTCACGAATTTCAATGTCAAACTCTTGCAGAATAGAACCCATCGAATTAGCCTAGGTTTAGCATCCTTCTTCTCAAACGGATATTTCAAGGCTTCATGGTCAATGTAAACTATCACCTTTGAACCTATCGGATAGGAACGAAATTTGTCGAAGGCAAAGACCACTGCTAGCATCTCTTTCTCCGTTGTTGCGTAGTTGATTTGAGCATCTATCTAAGGTTTTGCTGGCATAGTAGATGACATGCAACACTGTTCCTTTGCGTTGGCCAAGCACCACTCCACTGCAAACTCACTAGCATCACACATAAGTTTGAAAGGTAGATCCCAATCAGGTGCTACTATCATAGGTGTAGAGGTTAACTTTTCTTTCAAAGTATTAAAGGCATTTAATCATTCATCAGAAAAGTGAAAAGGCACATCCTTCTCCAGTAAATTACACAGAGGTTTTGTAATTTTTGAGAAATCTTGAATGAATCTTCTGTAAAATCCTACATGTCCTAAGAAACTTCTGATCCCCTTAACTGAATTAAGAGGTTGTAATTTTTCAATCACTTGTATTTTGGCTTTGTCAACTTCAACGGCCTTTGAGGAAATCCTGTGGCCCAGCACTATCCCCACTTTTAACATGAAATGACATTTTTCCCAATTTAGCATTAGGTCTGTCTCTTCACATCTTTGCAATACAAGCGATAGCCGATCCAAACAGTCATCAAATGAATCTCCAAACACAGAAAAATCATCCATGAAAAACTCAATGTACTTTTCTACCATGTCAGAAAAGATAGCTATCATGCACCGTTGAAAGGTTGTAGGTATGTTACATAGACCAAAAGGCATCCTTCTAAATGCAAAAGTTCCATAAGGGCATGTGAATATTGTTTTCTCTTGGTCTTCTGGAGCAATAACTATCTGATTGTACCCTGAATATCTGTCTAAAAAAACAGTAATGAGAATGACCTGTCAACCTCTTTAACATCTGATCAATGAAGGACAATGGGAAGTGATTCTTTTTGGTAGCATTATTCAACTTCCGATAATCTATACATACTCTCCACCCTGTCACTAACCATGTTGGTATCAGTTTGTTGTTGTCTTTCTTCTCCATTGTGATTCCACCTTTTTTAGGCACAACATCTATTGGACTCACCCATGAACTGTCAGATATGGATAAATTATTCTTGCATTCAGCAATTTCAGCACTTCTTTTCTCACCACTTCCTTCAAGGTGGGATTTAATCTTCGTTGTTCTTCCACTGATGGCCTTGACCCGTCCTCCATTAAAATTTTGTGCATGCAAAGAGTTAGACTGATCCCTATGATGTAAGCTATTGTCCATCTAATTGCCGTTTTGTGCTGCCTAAGTACTTCCAATAATTTATTCTCCTTTTTCCTTGTCATATCATAAACGATGATTACTGGAAGTGTTGTAGCATCTCCCAAATATGCATAACGGAAATGTGAAGGTAAATGCTTTAGTTCAAGAGTAGGTGCCTTGTCTACTCAGGGTACTGGGGGTGAAGGGTTGTCACTAAGAGATTCATATTGCCAATGTCTTCTTCCTATTAGTTGCTCAGCCAAGTTGACAACACATTCAGCTTTTCCTGCTTTTGTTGCTTTCGTTTGCGCAAGTTCTACCTCACAAAAATTTGCGTAATGCTCAGTCTCAAATGTATCTGCCACAAGCTCTTCAAAAACATCTATTTGGCAACAAGTGTCCGAAGTCAATGGATGTTTTATTGCCTTGAACACGTGGAATATGACTTGCTTATTGTCCACCCGAAGAATCATCTTTCCATTGTAAACATCAATCAACGCTCTTCCGGTAGCCAAGAAGGGTCTTTCCAAGATCAGAGAAATGCTTGAATAGATTGTTGTAGGTTTTGCTTCTCCCAACCCAAGAGACTTGTAAACAGAGAGAGCATAAGTTAACACTGGCACCCAAATTATACAAAGAATGTTCAAAATAATTAGAGCCAATTGTGTAAGGTATCGTGAAACTCCCTGGGTCTTTTAGTTTAGGAGGTAGTCTTCTCAATAGAATTGCACTGCACTCATCGTTTAGGCCGACTGTCTCATATTCTTCTAGCTTCCTTTTGTTAGAGAAGATCTCCCTCAAGAATTTAGAATAGCTGGGCATTTGGGCAATTGTATCTGCAAACGAAATATTGATGTGCAGTTTCTTGAAAATCTCCACAAACTTAGCAAACTGCTTGTCCAACTTCTTTCTCTGTAACCTATAAGGGAAGGGAATTGGTGGCACATAAGCTTTCACGAGGCTAGGTGTTCTCATTGTGGGTGTTTCTCTCTTTTTATCCTCCTCGTTAGTTGGTTGTTCAGACTTTGCTTCTGTCTCAGCCTCTTCACCCATTACTTCTTTGTCTTTCCTGTTTGGTCTTTTCATATATATCTCTGGAAGTTACACCCCACTTCTAGTTGTAATAGCTTGGACTTGCTCTTTTAGATTGACCATTGTGTTGCCTGGCAATGTCCTTTGTGGGCGTTCTGTAAGCTGATGAGCTATCTAACCAATTTGAGTTTCCAGTTTTTTAATGGATACTTGCTAATTTTGAAAGTTAGTGTCAATCTGCTGGAAAACTTTGTCCGTCTTTTGCATGTATTGGTTGAACATGTCTCCCAAACTTGGTTTTTTCTCTGGCTGGTTATTGTTTAAACTGCTCCCTTGTTGATTATCCGACCATCTGAAGTTTGGGTGTTGCCTCCATTTTGGGTTATATGTTTGTGAAAAGGGATTAAAATCTGGAGAGCCGTTTTGAATGAAGTTGACTTGCTCCTCTGGAAATCCCAAAGATGTGTAATTTTCAGTTAGATGATTAGCCGCACAGTTTTTGCATGATGGATCGACTATCACTGCATGTGCTCCTTTTGTTTGTGACTTCACCAATAACTCTACTTATTTTGTCAATGCTACTATTTGGGCATTGGTAGATACTGTGCTGTCTAATTCATAAATTTTCGCTGCTTTTGGAGGCATCACTCTTTCTGATGAAAACATGGAATGAGTAGTAGCAATCAATTCAAACAAATCCATACATTGTTGCACTGATTTCCCTATGATCGATCCTCCTGCAGAGGAATCCACTTGAGATTTGGACAATGGTGAAAGTCTTGTGTAGAAATATTGCACTTGATTTTCAATAATGATCCCATGATTTGGACACTTCCTCATCAACTCCTTAAATCTGTTCCATGCCTTGTGATAGCTCTCCCCATCTCTCTATTGAAAAGTTTGAATTTCCAGTCGGATTTTTGCTACCTTCGCTGGTGGAAAGAACTTATTGTAGAATTTCTTGGTCAGTTTCTCCCATGTGGTAATACTTCCATCCGGTTCGGCATCCAGCCGTTCCAATGCTGCATCTCTCAGTGTATATGAAAATAATCGCAACTTGATGGCACCCTCATTAACTCCGAGAGCATGACAATTCTGGCAATTTCTGAGAAATCTGGAGATATGTGTGTTTGGATTCTCATGGGATAGCCCATAGAATTGCAAAGTGTTATTCATCAAATTAATTCAATCAGCCCGTATCTGGGGGTTGTTTACCCCAAAATCCGGATATACTATGCTGGACCGCGCGAGTGCTGCTATAGGAGTAAAAAACATAGAAATTGGCAAGTCCCCTTCATTTACTTCCCTTTGTTCTTACCGTTGATCTCTCGCGGCCATTTGTCCAATTGACTGTATAGGGATAGGATTGTTTAGATTGTCAGACATTTGATGCTGCTGTTTTTATTTGTGTTCCCTACGTCTTCGTCTGAAGGTACGTTCTATTTTCGAATCAAACGGTTCAAGATCATCGCCTTGGGCACGGCGCATATAACGAACACCATTTTCTGTAAATAAAAGAAAATAAGCAAATCAAATAACAATTAAAAATAAGGTAATAAATAAATATATTAAGACTAAAAGTAATAGTCCCGGCAAGGGCGTCAAAAACTTATTGTCGATTTTATCCCGCAAGTGGACGGATCGTAATAAATAGAAAAGTTGATCTTTTAAATTCGGATTATCGTTCACACGAGGACTATACTTTTAATACTCAATTTATTATTTCTAATTGATATTTGACGAAAATAAACAAAAAATTGATTGAATGTGATTTTTAAATCTAACTACTAAAAATGTAAATGGATGCAACGAAAAGTGATTTGGAATTCAAACAATAAATGAATGTTATAGCGGAACAAATTCACCTATTGGTTACCTTTACTTCTAATATTGAGATCCATAAAACTAACGTAGTGTTCGGTCAAATTTTTCTATGGTATTCAATTTACCTTTCTCGAGTTCTCATTGAGCGTATTTAAATAATTCAATTCCATATCTCTATGCGAATCAACATTATTTAAACGAAATAATAGTTTTAAGGATTCATATAGGACCACAGCAATTAATAAAGGTATCTCTACATGTTATATTAATTTACCGAATTTTAATATGATGTCTAAACAAGAATCCACATTTCTATGTAATTATTATCCACGAAATCATTGAATAATTGGCCAGAAAATTCAAAACATTAAAAACATAATTAAAATCCACACATAAATTATAAAATAACAAGAATCTCAAATAAAAGAAATAAAAGTCCCAAATCAGTTACATTGTTTGTCCTAAAAATAAATTTAGCTACGCATATTAATGAGAGAAAAACAAGAAATTATGGAAGACATCACCAAGAATTGATGGAACGTGATTAATTTTCAATTTTGCTCCAATCGTCCACTGCCTTTCCCTCGTCATCCGCACGTTCTCTCTCTCTCTTTCAGTTATTGGAAGCCGAAATTATTCCTCCCTGCAACTGGCCAAAGAGTGTA